ACGACCTTTAATTCAGTTGAATATAGTTGTGGTGATGTCACAAGGATAAATTGTATACGGAAACGGTGGCCTCGAATATGCTCACGTCTATCTTGGACCATCCTTGGAGTTAAGGATTTTTCCTTGACCCAATTCGTGCTTTATGTAGAAATGTTACATTGAATACGAATACCTAATAGCGAAACTGGGGAGATCATGGCGCCATTTTGTCGAGCGTGTTTACCAACAACGACGTCCTTTTCGTCCTTTGAATATTTGCCAATAGATTCGTATCTGCTGGATCAGTAAGTTTTGTTTGTGTCTAAGTTAGAGATGTGATGGGCGATTCAATAAAAAGATATACCTAGTACACAGATATTACTATTTTTTTAGAAAAGTAGCGTAAGTGTACTACAAAGGTAGTACACTTACGCTACTTTTACTTACTTACTTACTTACGTAGAAAGCTACGCTTAATTGATTGCCTCATTTTTAAATGTTATTATGTACTTGAAGTAATAATAATTACTTAGAAGCAGTTCTTGAGCAAACAAATTAGATACCTAAATAATAAATTTTGACATTACGAAATATGTAACGTTTTAGCTTTACGTATATTAAGGCCGTACTTAATGACGTCTATTAAATGTAATGAATCATTAAATCACTTGATGTTTCATTAATATAACGTAATATGACTTTAATGAAACTTAATCTCCTAATGCGCCGTAATGTTGTAAAGTTTCTTACGCTTATACTTCTCATTTCCATAGTTAAAACAGGACAGTGACTGGGTGGTTAGCGAAAAGCTATTGAACTACTGACGAGGACTGTAAAAAACTGCTAATACATCCGATAGTTAAACGGTGATCGTTTTTTTAGGAGAAAAATAGCACGTACTGATTGCAGTTGCAACGCACACGTCCTACAGATAGCAGAATCAGAGTCCGAAACAAAATACAAAATTAAGTCCGATCGAAATATCAGTCGGGCACGCTAATGTTGTTCAAATAATTTATTGAATCATTCATATGTACTACATAAATAATACATGCACACGTAACGAGCTACCCTTCTAAGATAGAAAAACCGAACTTGCCCGGATATCTCCTATATATTATTCCTCTATCCTCCTCGTCTTCGGCCGCTATGCACAATACATGGACCGAAAGTCATAAAAGCCGAATACATTAAAATATCAAGCCGATAATCGGGCTGATTTTGCATATAAACTTGTATCGTTCTTGTATCCTCTTTCAGCTTTTATAAGCCTACATCCTTCTTCTTTCGTCAATATCTCCAAATCGAAATTTATCACAGTCGGTTCAGTCAGATAGCAATTTAAGCGTGAAAGACTAAAGTGTTATTTTCGGATATATTTGTATCATTAGTATTGCGATACATAGGTACCCATATATTTTTGTAGCTTAATTATGCAATGGAACAACACCTGTTGATACACCAGGGGAGGCAACCTGTCACGGAAGTTCACAGAGCGCGGTCACGCACGCAACTGTCACTGTCAGAGGCCGTTTTGGGAATTGGTGTAATATTACAGAGTGAATAACACACTTTTGTAGCGGTCGTAAGAGTTTTCTGAGGATCCATTTATCCATTTTTTAGCTGACTATTAGCGATATTATTGCAGTATATTTTTTCATCTTCAAAATAGTGGATGTTTGATTTATGATTAAGTAGGTGATTGTCAATTATTTGGAACTATCAAACCAGTGAACCAAATGTTCAACAAAACCTGATTTAAAAAAAATGTATTTAATTAATTGAGAACTTCGGAGATTTTGTGTGGTTTCGTTTGAAATTCGTGATTTCTCGAAAACCGGAAGTGCTACGTTACTCAAATCCGGTTTGTAGTCTTATCAGACTATTCTCAACTTATAACTTAAACATTCTCTTTATCTATCTCTTACGGTTTGGCCGCTGAAACAGCACCACAGACGGACGGACGGACGGACTTGTCTAATAGATAAGAGATATTCAAAACTGTTAAATGTGTCAATTAAATGTTAACATTTTGCGCAGACATGGCGCACTAACGTCTTTCCCCGTTCCCTTTCAACAAAACCAGGAGTGCAATAAACGCAAAGTTCTAATGGAGAAACTCTGTAACTCGTACCACACATTAGTGTCGTCACGCAGTAGGAAGGAACTTGCAGTCCCTAGAGACATAGCTTTGCTTAACTACACTTAGGGTTAACCACGAAGTAAATACAAAGAGTAAGCTTGTATCGAAAAAACTATAAAGTTTTAGTAACAAAGACAGCAGCTAACATTGTAAGAAGCTGTTTTTTATAAGTAGATTGATATTCAAACGAATCCTAATCACTGTTGCGCGCTAGTGGCAGTGTCAAAATAGTAAACATTAGAATAAATCTAAGATGTAAACGTGTTTGAATATTTCTTAGAGATATTCGTTACTTTATCACCAGCATTTGGCATACAGGAAAAGCATCAGCATACCCTAAATTACACGCGGTCATGCCTAACTAGGGATACCAATCACAAGTTTTTTTTTTATCAAATATAGTATTTTCGAAGCTCTGTTACCTCTAAAAATGTTACTAGATGGCAAAAAGATGGAAAAAATATAGAATGTGCTTGAAATATGTACTTTATGTTTTACAATTAATACATATGTTCTTCTACGCGTTAAATATTTTTTTTTATTTTTAAGAACGCTTTAACTGGTAAATCTGGTTTAAGCATAATAAAATAGTTTCGCCTACTACATATTTTTTTTAAGAAATATAGTATTTGATCCCCTAATATAGTAGGATACTATATTATATAGTTTAGTTGGCAACCCATCTATGCCTAACGTAATCCCAGGTTTTATCAAGTCCATTGCCATCATTCCGGCTAGTACTTATTCAAATTGTTATTTCATAAAAAAAACTTTTTATCAACATCTATGGGCAATTTCAACCGCATTTGTAAAGTTTTCACTAATTTGGAAAAGTGCCAAAGTAACTAACTACCAGCGTGCCGCTAACACTTTAAATAACACGTGTTGTATTTTATTTTAACACCTAAACATCTTGGTTAAAGCCGTTTTAAAAACATGTTATTTGCCATTAAGCTGTATCTAGCTTTTGGGGTCAAAGAACCACCTATAATTATCCGATTGTTGAGTAACCTCAGTGTTTATAAAGTAAATACAACATAAACCTACCTCTACCTTATTTCTCGCTTTGAAGTTCTAATGAGGAAGATTGGCATTTGTTAACATTTGAAGGTCGATAAGATTATTAGCATGTCTGTCTTTACCATATAACATTAAATATCTAAGTAGGTAGAGATACCCAAGCAAGCACGTGAGCCCACAGATCACCATATTCTAAAGTAACAGTGATGTCATCGTTATTGACTGACGCATAGCATGATGCATGTCAACGATATTTTCGCAAAAATGATTTACACACAGCTGATTCCTATGCAACATAACACCATACATTATAATGCGTAATAGCGGTTTCTGACTCAGGGGGCTGCAGCTGCGTGTATCGCCACGAAGCTTCGTGCTATGATGCTTATCCCACACCTGCGTGCAAAGCTTCTGGTGGCATTGGTACTAAAAAACGCTAAAATTGGCGTTCGAACAAACCATTATTGCACGGTAGTTCGTGCAAAATATAGAAGCTTCTAATGTGACCACAGGCTTAGCCGTAACTTTTTAGTAACGTCAAAACGTAATAAGTTTCTGCAAGCCTTACTTCGTGATGATGCACGCAGATATGGCCGAAGCATAATGTTAATAAGAATCTGCTGCTAGGGTTTTTTGCGGTTGAGCAAACAACACGCAACTAAAGTAATAATGACCTGCTGAAGAGTTAACAGAAGAGAACTTCATAATAGGTGAGGTCCTATTATGAAGCCAACACACTAGGAGGCTTAGTGTTTTTTTAATAAATAATACCAAATGCGTTTAGAACATGTTTTTATCAAAAAAATCTATCGGGAGATCTTATCGCTAACGGTGGTTTTTTCCAGACCACTGGTACCTAAGTAAAGAGTCGTGAATGATGAGTAATTTAAAATTAATGACTTAATTAATTTATTAATTAAAAATTGTTTAACTGTCGAAGTTTTAATTGCAAGACTTCTGTGTTTTGTTTTTTTTCTAATGAACAAAGAGAAACAGTATTATCGCTTTATGTAAGTTGGTCAATTTGCGTTAAAACCCTATGTAGTATAAGTATAATGGTTTTTCAAAATCTGACGGACATGAAAAAGGTTAAGGAAGAATTACTAAACGTACTTATTGTATTGTCATGTTATTTTATATAATGCATTACATGTTTTGGGATTTGTTTCGCTGTGCTTTCCAAAGGGAATAATTATTTTGTATGAAGCTTAATCGGTTTTTTATGCAGTGACAGATTAGCTAAAGGCAGAAATAACAATTTTCAGCAGCCTTCTTTTACCTACTACTTTAGCGTTTGGAATATAGCTCTCAGGATAATGACAACCTGGTACCCATTTACTATAAATATTATTAACTAAACCTGCCGCATCTGTGTCTGTGTATCACAAGCAATGATATCAAAAATACTGGACGTATTTTCATGCGATTTTCACCATTAGATAGATAATTTTTCAGGGAAGGTTTATAATAATTGTATAATATCATCGCATATCATCCTCCAGAACATAAACTATAGTCTACCTACACCGAAGCGAAGTGAGGATGAGGCACTACAATGTACAAACGTAATAACTACGTGATTGTGATTCGTGATTTGTTGCTAAAAACGTCTCTTATACCCTTCTAAACCGTTTGAATACGTTTCTATCCTTCGTTCTTTTACAATTTCCTTTGTCAATAGATAGATACCTACCTAGTTCCCGAGGGATAAGAAACAAACAGATAATTAAATCTAAATAAAATCCAGTACAAATACCAAGTCACGTAGGGCAAGCTTCACTGTCCGCTGACCAGCCTAGCCGCCTACCGTGACAACAACCGGTTCCACACCATCTCGCCCTTTACATTTTTAACTCACCGCGACCACCAAATTGAAGAAAAACAGCACATATTTCACAAAACTCGTTCCACATCCCATCGTGATAGCACTATGTTGAACTAATGAGTCACACAACAAGTTCACAAGTCACACGAGGACTATAATTTTTATACCGCGGCGGCGCACGTACGCAGCTTACTCTCAACTCGCTCACAAAACGACTGAGTAAAAAAGAACGCGAAAGCAAAGGGAAGGGAGATCGAGTTGGCTATGCATTGCCCCGCGCGCCGGCACGGCGGGCGCTCATCGTGAATCGTGACCCCTCATTCACCTGTCGCTTGTCTCACTCGCACTACTGCAACCACATTGCGTTAATCTTTGCTCCATCTCGCTCTTGCTCATCTTGTTTTCATCTCAGCCCGCTTTTATCAGGAGTCGAGTAGCAGCTTGTGTATTGACTTGAGTGGGCATTTTTAACCTTTAATGACGAATCATATGACTACAAATTCTGTATGCGGGATATCATAATCAAACTTTTCCACTTTTATTTTCCTTCATCCAGTGGAATTATTTTCTCTTAGGATATTGTACTATCAGCCAATTTGATTCTGTCCGGTTATAGACCACCATGCTTATTTTCTTACATTACAACAATTGCTAGACATTAAGGTGCACCATTCGCATAGATGTACGTAGGTATTCCTGGAAACAAACTTCTTATTTTCAGAACAATCATAATTGACGTGCCATATTTTGCCGCCTTCTTGTAATTGTGATATAATAGGTATAACTAGCAAACCAGTGAACCAAATGTTCACCAAAACCTGATTTCTCGAAAACCGGAAGTGCTACGTTACTCAAATCCGGTTTGTAGTCTTATCAGACTATTCTTAACTTATAACTTAAATATTCTCTTTATCTATCTCTTACGGTTTGCCCGCTGAAACAGCACCACAGACAGACGGACGGACTTGTCTAATAGATAAGAGATGTTGACGTAACATTCGAGTTTGCCTTAGGATGATTTCCCTTAATTTAACAAAGTTTTTTCGGTTAGTTTAAGGTTTTTACGATTTTTACAGTTATTTCGAAATTCAATGTACAATTCCAATTTTATCTAAAAGATGATTTACTGCTTTGAAAACAAAGGTCAAATTTTAAAGATCTTTGATCCACATTAATGCTTGACTTTTTTTTTTTATTCTTCTGTTTTAGTCACATTATTACAGTGGTCTGGGTTATTTGGTTTGTGTTTTCTTTATTTTATTTCATTTAAATGCTTGATATTAGAAGGTCTGTAATGCAATAACGCATGCAAAACTTGTCTGTTTTGACATTTTTAAGTGAAATATCGGGCAAATGGGTCAGGAATAAATTGATTCCTGACCCACTTGCCCGATATTTAGCTTAAATTCGATAGTACTTACAGAAATATGTTTAGTAGAACCATATCGCTTAACATACTTACACTTTAATAGTGATAGACATTTAGTTTAAAAATATAGCAAATCTGTGATCATTTGTATTTTTACGAAAAAGCATGGACTTATCGTTTCGGCGTATCGCGCGACTCCAATTCTCCCCTGTCTGATTTGATAAAATGAAGATACATATACTTCTTTTCTTACTTTTGTCCACAGTTTTTAGACGCGTGTTCTTTTGCTACATATTTTACTACCAATTTAACACAACTGACAAAATAAAACTAGTTTTTACGGGTTAATGCACGAAACTTTATTTATTTATTGACGTTTCGTAGCCTTTTCAGGTCTGCATCGTCAGAATAATGATTTTATTTAAAATTGTCGAGCTACCTTCGATTACGAGACAATTTCGAGACAATTTTAAATAAAATCATTATTCTGACGATGCAGACCTGAAAAGGCTGCGAAACGTCAATAAATAAATAAAGTTTCGTGCATTAACCCGTAAAAACTAGTTTTATTTAATGAGTGATGTGCGTGAAAACCTAAGAAACAAATACAACTGACAAAATTCTCAAAAAACCAGTGCTTAATTAATTGTTCTATCTCTGTTCATTTTAATCATCATAAAACGTACTTCCTGTGGGTATAACTTTGAGAGCTGGACTTTCCAGCAGGATTCTGCACCTGGTCACAGGGCACGAACTACCCAAGCCTGGTTTGAAACCAACGTTCCGGACTTTATGAGAGCTGAAGACTGGCCCTCATCTAGCCCAGACCTCAACCCTTCGATTAGACTTCAAATTATGGGCAGTTTTAGAGGACATGGCCGGCTCTAAACAAGACGGCGACATTGAGTCTCTTAAAAAATCTTTGGAGCAAGCAGTGGCGAAATTTCCCTTGGTAACAGTGCGTAAATCCATAGCTATACGTGGCCAAACTTAATAAAAAATGCATTTTCATTTGTAACAGAACTTATGGCTGGACTTGGTCTCTTTTAGAATAGGTAGAACTTAAGGTACAAAAATCCTAAGATCTATCCTCATTGGAAACTCAGACCAAGCTCTCACAAGTCAAGAAATACCTAAGTAGATCATTCCAAGACACTTCCGAGAGAACCATTCAGTCCAGTATTACCAGTAATCGCTTCAAATTAAAACACACAAGCAGATTGTAGCACACATGGATCCGTCCGTTTAATATTGTACAAGATTTACCACTACTTAAACGTCGAAACAATCACATTTCTTGTATGCTAAACCTTCTTTTTGTCATTTATATATATTTTACCTATCACTATCTACATGATACCGTTTTTTTTAAATAGATACCTCTGACAGGTGCACAGTTAGATAATGAAAGCTCAGCAACAGTTTCCGTCGTCAGGGAACACGTTCAGACGTTCGTACACGTACAGGGAACCCTAAAAAATGCCTGATCGATCAACTAGCGATGTGGTCGAAACTCGAAACATAAGAATGTAAGTACTTATCTACGGGGAGAAAGTAACTTGTACAAACGGATAGCGCTTTCCAAATGCACGCCCTGCGCGGCAGTATCGACACTACGACAATGAATAGAGCAAACACATAAAGAAGCATCTGGTCTTCAACTTCCTTTTATTTACAAGTATTTGTATACCAATCTTTACTAGGTAGTGGAAGGAATGTATCTATAGTATTTTTCTATTAAATGATAGTAGACCATAACAGCCCTACCACAAAAAAGCTAGCCAGACGTTCACAACTAGTTTAAAACAGAGTCAAACTTTTTCGTGGTAGGGAACCTAGATACCGTATTAACTGCACAGAAGCTACCCAAAACCTATCTACTACGTACTACGTCGCTACACACGCAAGCATTGACTGCTTTCAAACAATCTTACATTTAAAGTCACTCACACATTGCGCGTAACATGAGCCGTTTTCTTTAGGTTGTTTATTTGAATTGGTCTATCTAGGTGTGTATAATAATAATCAAAGCTACAACCCTTACGTTTGAAGACAACCTTACAGGACCATACTATTAGTAAACGAAAAGTTACTATCTTTCGATAGCGTTTTGTTTGTTTAATTCTCCACGAGTTAACTTTGATATCAATGTCAGGCAACGTATGTTGCGTGGAGTGATTCTTCAGTGTCGCAAACGTTTATTGGTTATGGTAGATGCATACTATCAGGCAGACCATTTGCATGTTTACCGCCATTTTTACAAAAATAAACTTAGGGCCTAATGCTTAATGTTGCGGAACAAAGCGTGTAATAGGGCATAGCAGCTTTCAAATTGCGAAAATAACCTTACAGAAGATTGCAGCCAAACAACACTATTCCGTTGCTCTGTGTATTTGCTGCAGTGAGTAAGGTTGCCTTGCCAGAGTTCCACGCGTTAGGGGAAGAGCACAGAGGCCGGAAAGAGCACTTTTCTGTGTTCTGCTGGAAAAAAAGAGTTGAAGCCATCAAGATGCGACGCGGGAGGCGGGGCGGCAAGTTTCGCAGAGTAATCTAACACATAACAATGCTATTATTTGTCATTTCGACAGACCTATATGATTATAACTTTATTATTCAGTTGTAAATGTCAACTTATTTTTATTGGGGTAATGAATTCGCATTTTTTTCTTATGATACTTACAGTAAAGTGAGTCAGTCCCGTATAAAGCCACTTTCCAGTGTAAGTAACATTTGCATTCATTGTGTAATGACTTGGGTCGTTTGTCCACCCGCATTTGTCACGTCATCTTGATGTCATTCAAAAAAAAGTTAATAGTTTAAAAAACTAAAAACTCGCTTTTATTTACTGCACCAAAAAGCCAAAAATAAGCTCCCTGTATACATCATTAGGGCCTTAGAGTAAGCCATGTTTAAAGTTTATTTAAACATACATATAGGACTGAAAAAGCGTGGGGAGCTATTTATTGCAATATTTATCAAATCAATTAATGTATTACGTGATTAGTAATGCCTAACAATTCAGTTGAAATTTAATAATGAAGCGCACCCCACGCTTTTTCAGTTATTTAAGTATGTTAAAATAAACTTTAAACATGGCTTTCTCTAAGGCCCTAATGAAGTATACAGAGACTATATTTTGTTTATTTTTGACTTTTTAGTGCAGTAAATAAAAGCGAGTTTTTAGTTTTTTAAACTATGAATTTATTTTACTCTTTTTAATTTCAATCAACAGGAAAAATGATACTCGATATGTTTACTGGTAGGCAGTCCAAGGTTCCATCAGCCACCTTTTAGTCCCATCATCAGACCAGCTCGATGGTACCATAATATTGTATTGTCATCTAATCTACATATAATTGCCAAGTTTTATTATGTTAAGACGAATCTCATGTTCCCAAATTCGATTTGTTTACTAGTAGGCAGCCCAGGGTGCATCAGCCACCTTCCAATCCATCGTCAGGTCCTCTTTATCAGGAAAAATTAATAGAAAATGTTATGACGAATCTAATGAGCCCAAACTCGATATGTTTACTAGTGGGCATTCCAAGGTTTCATCAGCCACCTTCCAGGATGACCAGCTCGATGGTACCATAATATTGTGTTGTCTTCGTCTTCTATAATTGCCAATTTTCATGATGATACAAGAATTACAAGTGCGTTTAATTCAGATTCTTAGATTTCATTACATAGTTAGTTACATACAAAGTCGACCTAATAAAAGCGTGTTCATAATATTGTTCTCGTTGACGTTCCTGTGACGGTCCGGTGGATAAATGGCCTAAGACAGTATATTTTGTAGTATAGACGTATAGATATAATAGATAGTAAGCTTGACAGTACATAAAACGACAAAACTAAATGTAAATAACTTGATTTCGACCGCAGACCAATCGTTTATCTATGGATAATAAATAATAATGTATTTTGTAAGTATTTCTGTTGTTCCATCTCCATCTTCAGATCCTCGTCACTTTTATTATTCGGCATAAAAAAATACTTATTACCCAAAATGTTCACCCCTTATTTTTATGGCGGTACGAAGTTCCCTGGGTAAGCTAAATTCATAAAAGATTGTTTCCAAAATAACACATCTGTTCGAGGTAAACTCACTATTACAAGTAATTACGTATTTTATTTTTTATTTAGGAAAAACATACTTTAGCAAAAAGTTTGAATGTCGACCGTATACTAAGTAATGCTAGCGGAAAATTGCGAGGAGGCATGTTTCCTTCGAAGCCAAGGTTATTTCGTTTACGAGAAATCAGTCAGTATTGGCCAACCCGAGGTTCTGTTGAAAAAATGTATTGTT